AAGCTGCTCTCCCTTGTGTTTTCCTGTTTTCTAGACAATAGTTTAGAGTGGTGAATGCAGCTAAGCCCAATACCACTGTGGAGTATTTTGGACTCTTGAGTCCCAATCTGATCTGATTCCAGTTTTCACAGTCCTTGAAGGAGAATTGTCCAGGTACAAGAGCAGCCCTGGGAAAGAACAGAACTTAAATGATGGAAAGAAGTGCCGAACTCCTGCTGCTGGGGCTGCCTAGGTCCAGACAATTCTGAGCTCCAAATGGACACACTGAGCCCTTTTTATGGTCATGATGAAAACAAGGAACTTCAAGTCCATTTCCTTCACTTGAAGTTGGTTTTGCAACCTTTTTCTCTGTGCTAAAGTTATACCATTTCTTGACACTAAGGTCTGTCACACCCCAATAGGCAGATAGGCACGGCCATTCTGTTCCTCCCAGGTTTCTAAATTATATACTTGATTGGATTTGAATAGCACATTGACTGATTTTTATAGTATCCTATTCCTGTGAAGTCTTCGGCTCATTTTAACAATACCCCTTAGCCAGCCAGAGTTTCTTCCTGGTCCTCTTGCCCCAAACTTCACAAATCCCCTGTGACTTAAAATGAGCAGGCCCATGCAAGGCTGGGAACCTATGTCAGCTACTTTGTAAATGGTTCCATGTCTTTGGTATGTTTGCTGCTCAGATTCAGGAAAGTTGACCCACAAGGGAGTATCTTGAGCCATATGACTCTACCTACTCTGCCCCCTTTAGGGCCGCTTTGGATTGAGCTTTCTGTATACTGTGGCAGAGAATGCAATAGCTAGACACGCACAGAAAGCTGAAGTACCCTGAGACCTCCACATCTCCCCTTTGCACAAAGTCTGGCTTTGAGACCCAGCACTGCTTTTCTTTTGTATTGACTACAGCAGCTAACAAAAAGGCCTTCTCTCCTCTCTGCCAGATTTCAGAAAGGGCCTATTCATAACTGTGTCCTATTGATCCCTCCCAGGGGGTGGGGCAGAGACTAAGGAAAGTTCTGCAGAGGAGAACAGCAAGAAAATCTGGGGCTGCTACGCTCCCACAAGGCCTAAACACTCAGGGGACTGAGAATTCAAAGGTTAAGCCCTGGAGACCTTGCAAGAAGGATCACTGAGTTTGCTTGAGTTTCTTTCTCTCAAGATAATGGGAGGAGAAAAGCAGCAGATAGGAATATAGATAGTCCACAGTTAGGTGGCACTAGGCACTAATTATAAAATTTTATTACACAAGCTCCTAGAATTTGTTAAAATGCAGATTTTTTTTTTTTTATTTTTAGATGGACACCTTTATTTTATTTATTTTTATGTGGTGCTGAGGATCGAACCCAGGGCCTCACATGTGCAATGCAAGCGCTCTACCACTAAGCCACAACCCCAGCCCGTAAAATGCAGATTTTTTAGTTCCACTGTGATTCAGTAAGTGTGAAGTAGAACCCCATATGTGTATTTTTAAGTTTTTTATATTTATTTTAATTGTTGATGGACCTTTATTTTTTATTTGTATGCAGTGCAGAGAATCAAACTCAGTGTTTCACACATTTGAGGTAAGTGCTCTACCACTGAGCCATAACCCCAGCCCCCCATATGTGTATTTTTAAAAGGTCTAGGGTCACATTTTACCCAAAAGCCTAAGAGGCCAAACTTTTTTTTTTTTTTCTTTTCTTTGAGGCTAAACTTTAATGCTTCTTCCCTTAGTCACCCATCCTGGGTTTAGCAGAAACTCTATAATCCTCAGTTTGTTCTCACTGCACCCAGGAAAGTTCCTGGCAAATGGTAGGCCCTTTGAATTACATCAGACTATAAGTGGGGAGCTCAAGTCAATGGGGAGTGTTCTTGGTATTTACTAGCAAGATGAGCTGGGTCATCAAGAGAGAAGTTCAGTTGGAATATGGAAATCCACATTGATTCTCCAAACTGGGCATCTGACTACATGGAGGGCTCATTATAAAGACCTCTTGAGGGCCAGGCACAGTGGTGCACACCTATAATCCTAGCAGCTCAGGAGCTGAGGCAGGAGGATAGCAAGTTCAATGCCAGCCTCAGCAATTTAGTGTGTCCTTAAGCAACTTAGTGAGACCCTATCTCAAAAGATAAAAAGATGCTGGGGATGTGGCTCAGTGGTTAAGTGCCCTTGGGTTCAATTCCCAATACCAAAAAAGAAAAAAACAAATAAAAACCTCTTGTTATTTTGAGGGTCCTCTGATCCAGGGTTGTCTAGATGCTGGCAAACGTACTGGACTAATGTGCAAGAGATTCGAGTATAGGGACTGGGGGTGTCCCTCCACCACTGAGCTATGTCCATGAGGCCCTGAGTTCAAACTCCAGCACCAAAAAATAAAAAAAGTAAAAATAATTAGAAGGCTTGAGTATAGTAAGCTACTAATAAGTTGTCTTTTTTCTGGGCTTCCCTTTACTCATCGTTCAAGGAAAGGTTAGTAGAGGAAACCCCTAAGGTGCCCTTCTGGCTGACTTTCTAGGGTTTTCCTTTTGCTGCCTCTTGCTCTGCCTTCACCCTAAGTTTGCTGTATTTGGACAAGGGCCAGCTCTAATGCTCCCATTCACCATTTGCCCATTAACTAGAACAGTACATGGCACATAGTAGGTGCTTATTAAATATTTATTGCAGGAATGAATAAATATTTATAACTGGTCATAAGGTAAAATAGCCCTCATTGGAATGATGCCCTGGGAGTAAGGCAGGGCCAAAAGCTGACTTGAGACTGCTGCAATTTTTCCAGCTAAGAGAATTCTTAAGAGGCACCAGCCTACCTGGCTTCACCAGAATGTCTGACAGCATTTAAGGTAACCACATATTTAGTATGTCCTATAAATGGAATACATGTACATTATAGCAAATTCATACATTTTATTTATTGATTTTTGTTGCTGGGGATTGAACCCAGAGGCATTTTTTCACTGAGCTACATTCCCAGTCCTTTTCATTTTTATTTAAAATTTTTTTTTTAGTTGTTAATGGACCTTTATTTACATGCAGTGCTGAGAATGAAATGCAGTGCTTCACACATGCTAGGCAAGCTCTCTACCACTGAGCTACACCCCCAACCCCCTTTTTATTTTTGAGACAGGGTCTTGTTAAATTGCTGAGGGTAGCTTTGAACTTGAGATACTCCTGCCTCAGCCTCCCAAGTTCCCACAATTACAGGTTCGCACCACTGTGCCCGGCATATGCTTATACATCTTTTAAAAGTATTTTTTTAAAAAAGTATTTATTTGTTTATTTATTTTTAAATGTGGTGCTGAGGATCGAACCCAGGGCCTCGCATGTGCGTGGGGAATGCTCAACCGCTAAGCCACAATCCCAGCCTTTTTAAGAACTGCTCAAGGGGCTGGGGATGTGGCTCAAGCGGTAGCGCACTCCCCTCGCATGCGTGCGGCCCCAGTTTGATCCTCAGCACCACATACAAAGATGTTGTTTCCACGGAAAACTAAATAAAATATTAAACATTCTCTCTCTCTCTCTCTCTCAAAAAAGAGAAAATTAAAAAAAAAAACTGCTCAAAAGAGTGAGTTTTCTATTATTCTGGTACTTTTTAATATATACTTTTGGAATTATAGGGGAATGATATACAATACACATAGTTTTAAAAACTTACCTGTAATTCAAAGATATTCCTTGTTAATTTTTTGGGGGAAGGATACTGGAGAGGGAACTCAGGGGTACTCAACCACTGAGTCACATCCCTAGCCCTATTTTGTATTTTATTTAGAAACAGGGTCTCACTGAGTTGCTTAGCGTCTCACAGTTACTGAGGCTGGCTTTGAACTCGTGATCCTCCTGTCTTAGCCTCCGGAGTCGCTGGGATTACAGGCTTGTGTCACCAGACCAGTTTGTTAATTTTGTACACAATTTTTTCAACATTTTTTTGTGCATGTCATTGTATATGGTATACTGCTTATATAGTGACATATTCTATGTTCGTTAAAGTGGCAAGCATCATTTTTGATGACTTCATGATAATAGTGCATTTAACCACTCCTTCTCAAGTAGCTTCTTTTGAGTATCTGAAATATCACAGTGAAAAGCATAGTTGCCCACACATTTGTATCTGTAACTGTTATTCTTTAGGATAGAATGCAGGAATGGAATTACTGGACCAAAGTGTATGTATCTCTTTAAGCTTCTTAAAAGAGTCAAAATATTTCAAAAGTTTTACTGATTTACACTCAAGGTCAGCATCTTTCCGTGAGCTTTATAACAGCCCCTACAGAGCAGAGAAATAGCTCTCGAGCTTGGAAGGCATCCTTACAGCTGTGTGACCCCTGCAGTGGGAGAGTCATGAATTCTTTCTGAAGTTCTGCCTCAGCTTCCCCTCTGCCGGCAGGGCCACTGCCCCGTCCGGTTTCCTAATTCGTTTTTTAAGTATCAGGGGAGAAAACTGAGCTGGAGTGGCGGAGTTGGTGGTGGTGGTTGTAATGGCCGGGAGGGTGCAAGTTGGTCCTATGTTTGCATAAAGATTAAAATTTGTCAACAAGAACCCAACACTTGGAGATCCTTCGTAGAGACGTCCGCTTATCCCTACAGAAGCTTCCAGAGGGGGAAGCATATCTAAAGAGGAGGCAGGAGCGAGGTAGAAGTTGGAGAGGATGTCTGACTTTCCCCTTCAGCAGGAGGACTGCGGCCCCTTTAAGGGCCAATCCGGGACTTGGCTCTTTAAATCTGTGTCAGTTTCCCCTGACGTCAGCGGGCGGGCCGGCCGCCCTGCTGTTTACCGCCGCGCGGCGCAGCTCACTTTCCCGAGTTCCGAGCGCCCCGGAGCCGCGTCCGCCCGCCCTTAAAGAGCCCGCGTCCGGGAAAACTCGCCGCCGCGCACGGCGTCCGGCTGCTATCACGCCCATCTCCTTCCGACCCCCCTCCCTTCGCGGCCGCCCCCGCCGCCGGCTTCCCCTCCCCTCTCCCGGCGTCTCAGGGCTCCCGGCAACCAGCCGCCCGAGTTCCCACAACCCTGGCCGGGGGCTGTAGGGTCGCGGGGCCGTGCTCAGTCCCTCGCGAGCTGGGGTCCCTTCCTGCAGCCTTCCCTCCCCCTCCCCGCCGCCCCCTCCCCTCCGGGGCTCCTGGGAGCGCCTCCGCGGCTCCGGGGAGGGGACGTTTCCTAATCTCAGGCCGGGGTTAAAGTTCTGGTCCGGGTGAGATGCTGGAAGCTGCGGCCGCAGCCGCAACCCGTCCCGGAGGTGTCCTGTCGCCTGTCTCCGCCGCCACCACCACTGCTACCGCTACCGCTGCCACTGCCGCCCTGCTGGGGCCATGTTCGCTCTGGGCTTGCCCTTCTTGGTGCTCTGGGTGGCCTCGGTCGAGAGCCATCTGGGGGTTTTGGGGCCCAAGAACGTCTCGCAGAAAGACGCAGAGTTTGAGCGCACCTACGTGGATGAAGTCAACAGCGAGCTGGTCAACATCTACACCTTCAACCATACTGTGACTCGCAACCGGGTGAGGGCTGGGGCTGGGCCGGTGGTGAGTGGGTGAGCAGAAGGGCTAGGCTTTGCTTCCACTCCCCTGCTTTTTTAGGAGGCTCCATGAACCAGGTACCCGGCTGGGGTTGTTTCCCAGAACCACACAGGAGCCTTTTGACCAGTCCTTTTTTTCACCAATGTTTCTCTGAAGCTCCAGCGGTACAGTTTTTGAAGTTATCGTATTCCCATCTTCTCTTCTACCTGTTCCCTTTCACCATCTGTGGTCTGAGCACACTGGGCCTGCTCCATATCCTGACCCTCAGTATCTGGTAGTCCTGGGGGGTCTGAGTTCAAGGGAAGCTTGCTTGCTACTGGGTTTACCCAGACAACCGCAACAAATGAGAGAGGCCTGCAACTGAAAGGCTCTGCCCAGGCAAGTAGAAGTCAGACTCTCTGGGGAGATGAGTGAAGGACTTCCCAGTTCTCTCCCTACTTCAGAGAGCCAGCTGGCCTTCCAAGTGGAGGGTGGTAGAGATAAGATCAACAGCAAGTTGGGTGGCAAGGGAAAGGGAGTTAGTCCATCCCCTTTGAAGAATCTGTCTCACCCGAATTTTTCTTTGGATTCTTCCCAAATGTGAGAGTGGTTTCTTCCCAAATGTGAGAGTTGAGAATGGGCGTAGTTAGGCCTGGGAAGTCTAGACCCTAGGTAGAGCACTCTGGGAGAGCTCTTACAGTCAGGCTGGGTGGTCTCCTGCCTAGCTTTCTTGCTCTCTCTCCGTGACTGGGTCTAGATTTACTGGAAAGCAGTGGAGTTGAAAATGGAGAATTAGAATGCTCTTCAGGCCAAACAGGGTTTGGTTTCTGGAAGGCCAGGATCTGCCTTTAGTACCTGGTTTTCTGAAGTTTGATCTCCTCCTGCTTGGAGTCCTTTTTTCCCCCATATCTGGGGTCATCCCAGAGCTATCATGTCTAACTGGGTGTGGTGGCACACTTCTATGATCCCAATTATTCAGGAGACTGAAGCAGTAGGCTCACAAGTTCAAGGACAGCCTGGGCAACTTAGTTTACCCTGTTTCAAAAAATAAAAAAGCTGGGGATATAGCTCAGTGGTAGAATGCCTCTGGGTGCAATCCCAGTACCCCCCCCACACACACACACAATCGCAGTACCCCCCCCACACACACACAATCGCAGTACCACACACACACACACAAAAAAAAAAAAGCCTTTAGAAAAATACTACTCTAAGCCTTGGGCTTCAGTACCCCAATAACAAACATTTCCAGGATTTATTTGTTTTTTTTATTTAAGCTCCCACCGTTCTCTATATATTCCTACATAGCTAAGGGTGAGGGTATTATTGTATACCAGAGGAAATTGAGGTTCAGAGATGTGAAGTGACTTCTCTACAGTCCTGTCCTTTGATCAGAGCTAAGGATACAACTTAAGTTTTCGACACCTCCCACATTTTCCCCATCATTCCTCTACCCCATCCCCACTGGGCTCTGGCCTCCACTTCAGTTGTTGAACCGGAGCTTCCTGCTGGTTTCGTGGCTTACAAGGAAGAAGGTTGCAAACACTTCTTGCTCTTCTCTGTGTGTGTGTGTGTACGTGTGTACGTGTACATGTGTACATGTGCAGGCCTGTGTGTCCCATGTGCATGGAAAGGAATGGGCTATCTTAGAAACTCCTGAGGTCTCCACTATCTCTGGTCAGGGTGCTGGCCCCTCGGTGCCTGGTCCTGCTGCCCCGCACACACCTGTGGCCAGGAGCCAGCCTCTTCATGAACCTCTCCTTTCACTTAGCACCAGTACCTCCTGGAGACGGGGTTTATTCTAGCATCAGAGCATAGATGGTGTCCCAGCCTGACCAGGATGGATGAGGGAGGGCAGGGCTCACAGACTCCTGAGGCATGTGTTAGTGATTGTGGGGAGAGGTGTGAGTGAGGGTACCTCCATGTCATCTGCAGACCGAAGGCGTGCGTGTGTCCGTGAACGTCCTGAACAAGCAGAAGGGGGCGCCTTTGCTGTTTGTGGTCCGCCAGAAGGAGGCTGTGGTGTCCTTCCAGGTGCCCCTAATCCTGCGAGGGCTGTGAGTAGGACCTGGAGATTGGGGGAGGGGTTGTCCTGGGCCAGGCCTTGCTTGGAGCCTCACACAGGAGCTCCCTTGTTTCTTCTCCCCAGTGCCTGAGCCCAGAAGCTGGTCAGTAGCTGAAGGCCAAGTCAGCCAGCCTGGAGCTTGTCAGCCTAGGGCTCAGGAGGTGTGGGAACCTGATGGGAAGAACTGGGCCTTGCTTCTCTGGAGTGGCAGGCCAGCTGGCACGGTAATCACATTGTGACTCTCTGCTTTGGGCCACAGGTATCAGCGCAAATATCTCTACCAAAAGGTGGAACGAACACTGTGTCAGCCCCCTACGAAGAATGAGTCTGAGGTCCAGTTCTTCTACGTGGATGTGTCCACCCTCTCACCAGTCAACACCACATATCAGCTCCGGGTCAGCCGAATGGATGACTTTGTGCTCAGGTCTGCAGGGTAGAGAGGGGACCATGGGGACCAGCTTCATTCCTAAGTCCTGGGTGTGACTACAGGGGATCTTCTCTGCCCTGTAGGACTGGGGAACAGTTTACCTTCAATACCACTGCAGCCCAACCCCAGGTAAAAATCCCTGTTGACCTCCTGTTGAAGGAGAAATGGAAGAGCTTAAACATGAGAGCAGGAGTGGTCAGTGGTGTTTCTGGGGCTTACAAGTGTTTACTTTCTCCACGGAGGGTTTCTCTGGAAGCCCTGCAGTGATGAGGGACAGATATTCAGCAACAGTACAGAGATACGGGACTGGTTCCCATCTTTCCTATTCTGTCTCCCAGACACTGCCTTTAGTGCCCAGCTGTGGTTGAAGGGGGGTGGAGAGCAAGTGTGCTTATGGTCAGGCCCCTCTCCCCAGAGAGCCTCCGCTGCCCAACCCAAGAGGATTCTGGGGCCTTGCTCTGGGGAGACTGTTCCTTCTAGGGGGGTAAAGAGAGCATGCTCATGAGGTAAGATTCTCTTTGCCCTTGCTGTGCCCTCAGTACTTCAAGTATGAGTTTCCTGAGGGAGTAGACTCTGTGATTGTCAAGGTGACGTCCAACAAGGCCTTTCCCTGCTCAGTCATCTCCATCCAGGATGTCCTGGTAAGTTGCCTGCCCTTTTGCTTTCCTCCTATGAGTAGCAAGGCCATTAAAGAGAGGGGATAGGGCCCAGGTTCCTGTCCATCTGTCTTTTCCCACCTTCCTCTATAGTGCCCTGTGTATGACCTGGACAACAATGTCGCCTTCATCGGCATGTACCAGACTATGACCAAGAAAGCAGCCATCACTGTGCAGGTAGGAAGTGCACATGGTCCTGTCGAGGATGCGGCTTGCAGAGAAGCTGCTGGCTTTCCAAATCCGTTCCTTGTTCTCTGCCCCATTCCTACTCGAAATAGGCTATCTAGTTCCTGTGACTTTGGGTCCCCTGGTATGTGTGAGTTGAACTATAATCCCAGTCACCCTTAGGAATAGAAAGAGCAGAGTTCTCTTTCTTGTTGTCTTTATTTCATTTTTATAAGGTGAGTGAGGAGAGGAAAGGGGCCCTAGGGTCCTGTTTAATACTAGGTGTTATCCTTGGCAAAGGCCACGACCTATTCTGGGGACAGGGAAGAGGAAGTCATGTTTTTACCTCACAGTATCAAACCCATGCATCTGACAAGTAACATGGCATCTCCACATTTTTTCTTGGCTGTTGCTCAGCCTGAAGTAGGATAACCCATGTGAGGCACATATAAATTTGCTTACCTGGCCATGGTATAGGTTTAGGGTTGAAGTTCTGCAACTAGAAAATCCTGGCTCTTCCATGTAATGGCAATATGACTCTTAGCTAACTTCTTTAAGTCAATACAACAAGGATAATAATAGTACTTTCTTCAAGGATCTTTTTGAGGATTAAGTAAAATAATATATTAAAGAGCTTAGCATAGCATCTAGCCCAAAGTAAGTATTCAGAAAAGCGCTGTGTCCATGATGGAATGATCCTCCTCCTCCTCCTCCTCTTCTACCTCATCATCTTACAGCGCAAAGACTTCCCCAGCAACAGCTTTTACGTGGTAGTAGTGGTGAAGACTGAAGACCAGGCCTGTGGGGGTTCCTTGCCTTTCTACCCCTTTGTAGAAGGTAAATTTTGTGCCCTGGTCCTGGCTTGGTATGGGGAGGGTTGGTGGCTTCCTGGGAGTTGGAAGTACCTGCATGGCTGTTGGTGGATCTGATGAGAGATGCCTTTTTTTTTTTTCCTTTTTGTGGTGCTGGGGATTGAACTCAGGACCTCATGCATGCTAAATGTGCACTCTACCACTGTGCTATTACTAGCCCTTCAGATCATGAGGTTTTGGCCCTGAACTCTCTGTGTCCTGCTCCTACCAATTCTAGCTAAGCTCCAAGTAACCATCTTTGGCACTTTGACATTTTTCTTCCAGATGAGCCAGTCGATCAAGGGCACCGCCAGAAAACCCTGTCAGTGCTGGTATCTCAAGCAGTCACATGTGAGTGTGCGGAGCTGAGTGGGATAGGGAGCTTCTCTGGTTATTCCTCTCAGACCTAGGAGAGAGGGTGCTCTCTGATTGGGAAGGGTGACAAGGACCTACTCAAGTAGGCTTACGGGTAGGGAACAGGTATCTTAGCAGACTTCAAGATGGAACGATCCTGGAGGGGGATCCAGTGTAACGTGGGACAGAGTCCATGGCAAAAGATGGAACAGCTGAGTTCTAGTGCACTCTCTGTCACTTATCAGCGGAGGAATCTCCTAGGTCCTCTGCAATAGAAATAATAAGATAGTCCTATTAAACTCAGTTGTTAGGCTTAGCAGAAAATTAGTAGCAAAGTGCTGGACCCTAGATAGTACTCAATAAATATTTACTGAGTGATTGAATGGGGCTTTTTTTTTTAATGTTTTTTTTAGTCATCCATGGACCTTATTTTATTTATTTATTTTTTATGTGGTGATGAGAATCGAACCCAGTGCCTCACACATGCTAAGCAACACGCTGCCACCGAGCCACAACCTAGTCCTCATAAATGGGGCTCTTTATAAACTTGAGAGTATAAGATAAAAATAAGGGATTTTGATGAGAGGAGAAAAGCTGCCCCTTGAGTGCCTCATTGACTCAGCAAATATTGATTGAGCCCCTCCTGGGTTCTGTCCCAGGGCTATAGTTCTCAAGGAGCTCCCGTGTAGACGACAGGAGGCTGTTGCTATACAGGGTGCCAAAAGTTGTGATGAGCAAAGGACAAGTCACTGTGGGAATGTAGGACTGAGAAGGCATCCTAAAAGGCACAGTCCCTGTGCTGTGGTTTGAATGTGGTCAAGATGGGGTTTTCAAGAAGTAGAAGAGAAAGTTCTAGCCCAAGAAGCAACATGAGCAAAGACAGGATCATGTCAGAGCTTAGTGCAGTTAGAGTACTGTCAGTTGTTCATACTGGCTGAGGCATTGCATTTGAGGGGTTATGTGGTGAGAGGTTGGGCTGGGCAGAGGAGCCAGATAATGATGGCCCTTGGGCATCATGATGGTAATGTTGAAAAGTTTGCGTTGTTCACCTTCCTGCTTCCTTCCCTGTAGCCGAGGCCTATGTTGGTGGGATGCTCTTCTGTCTGGGCATATTTCTCTCCTTTTACCTGTTGACCGTCCTCCTGGCCTGTTGGGAGAACTGGAGGTAAGATGGAACTGCCGAGCCCTCCCCTGGTCGAGGGTGGGTGGGCAGGGAGTATGAGTGAGATAGCCTGGCAGGATCTGAGCTGGCTCAGGGTTATCTCCTAACTGTCCTCAGGGCAATGCAAGGCAGGTGCCTATTAGAAACTGTGGTCCATAGGCCACTTCTCTGGAAACTGACCAGGAAGGGGAACCTTAATCTCTTACCCAGGTATAGAGACCCCACATAGCTCCTCAGCCCAGGAGGAACCCAGGATCAAGGTTGGGGTTTAGGGTTATAGGAATCAGAATGAGGTAGAGAGGGTAGAAGGGAGGTCAACTTAGCATGGAGGGATCTTCATCTTACCCAGTCTGGGTATCCTCTTGATTCTGTCACTGCAGGCAGAAGAAGAAGACTCTGTTGGTGGCCATAGACCGAGTCTGCCCAGAAAGTGGTATCTCTAAAGGGCCCGGGTGGGAGGGCAGGATTTGCTTAGTCCTGGGGAGGGAAAGTGGTGGATGGTTCTCTGTGTGGTTAGAGGAGGAAGGGTTGTGGGTTTCTGAATGTTTGGATTGGGAGTGACATTCCACAGATGGAAGCAGGGCTGGTGTCTTCTGCTGTCCATCCCTATGTGTACCCTGGAAGCTGTTGTGTGGTCTGTTCTCCATGTCTAGCTACGCTGTCTGTCATAGGCAGTGCTGCTTACAGTTTTTGAGATTATTAACTTTCCATTCTCTCCCTCCCCCCACCCCGCCCTCTCTTTCTATTCTTCCTCCTGCTTGGGACCTTCTCTCTCAGCTTCTCTCCTTGGTAAGCTCCAGGTGCTGTGGGTAGAGGAGCTACTGTCAAAGGGGAGGGAGGTGAAGCACAAGGGCTGTCTGGGGGAACTCGAGCAGCTGGATGTCATTTGTCCTTGCTGCTGGTAGCTTAGTACATGGTTTCTTTGACTTCCTCTCTCTTTAGGGAGAGCACAGGGTGACGTGTTTCCATTGAACACATTGGAGTTCAGGGCATCTGGTAGTGGTGGTGGGTGGTAGTGAGGTATTTGCCTGGAGAGGTACTTATTCTTCACTGTTGACGTGGCCCCTTTATAACTGTCTTCTTTGGATTGTCCCTTCTTTCTTCCCCCTGGTCCTAGGCCTCTCTTTGCTTCCAGGGTAAGGGAATCTTGACTTCTCATTGCAGGGCACCCTCGGGTCCTGGCTGATTCCTTTCCTGGCAGCTCCTCCTATGAGGGTTACAACTATGGCTCCTTTGGTACGTGTCAAAACCAGAGACTGCTTGCCCACTGCTGAAGTGGCCATTGGCTTTTTTATTTTTAATTGATTTATTATTATTATTATTGTTCAAAACATTACAAAGCTCTTGACATATCATATTTCATACATTTGATTCAAGTGGATTATGAACTCCCATTTTTACCCCTTATACAGATTGCAGAATCACATCGGTTACACATCCACGTTTTTACATACTGCCATATTAGTGTCTGTTGTATTCTGCTGCCTTTTCTATCCTCTACTATCCCCCCTCCCCTCCCCTCCCCTCCCATCTTCTCTCTCTACCCCATCTACTGTAATTCATTTGCCATTGGCTCTTTTTTTTTTTTTTTTAAAGAGAGAGTGGGGGGGAGAGAGAGAGAGAGAGAATTTTTTAATATTTATTTTTTAGTTATGGGCGGACACAACATCTTTGTTTGTACGTGGTGCTGAGGATCGAACCCGGGCCGCACGCATGCCAGGCGAGCGCGCTACCGCTTGAGCCACATCCCCAGCCCCTGCCATTGGCTCTTTGATGCCTGTGCCCTCACAGCTACTCAGAGCCCCATCAGGATGGGTCCAGTGTCCCTTCCCCACATACCTCACCATTTACATTCCCTGCAGAAAATGGTTCCGGATCTACTGATGGTTTGGTTGACAGTGCCGGTACTGGGGACCTCTCTTATGGTTACCAGGGTAAGTGGGACAGGCAGGGGTGTGTGGTACAGGGCTGCTGTTGGCTGGGTGAAGCGTCATGGTGGGCGGTTGCCTCTTCTGCCAGATGCTGGAACCAGCAGTTGCCTGCTGTTCTGCCCCTGTCCTCCCTTATCCTTTCCTCCTTGGCCCCAGTTCCCTGGTAACTTTCCCTTTCCTTTGAAGGGCACGACCAGTTCAAGCGGCGCCTCCCCTCTGGCCAGATGCGGCAGCTGTGCATTGCCTTGGGTAGATGTGGGGAGGGGGTGGGGCTGCCCTGCCAATCAGTTCCTGCCAGGGCGGTTGACTGGGGCCTGCTGGCTCCAGGGTCAGAAAGATGCTTGGTGCATGGCTTCCTCATCTAATGCCAGTAATGCTAGCCTGTGTGTCTTCTGAGAGAGACAGGCACTGGCCCCTGATGCCAGTGGGCTGGCACCTTAGCCACCACAGGTCAGATGTTATAGTTTGCTGTCTCATTTGCCAGCACCCTCTCCCCAGTCTGCTGGGGACAGGCTCCTGAACATGGGAGTCACGTTCTGGCCTGTGGGGCTTTGGTCAGGTGAGGTCATAGAAGGAAGCTTCTGTAGGCAAGAGACAGATGAGGTCAAGGAGAGGTGCTCTTCCTGAAGGCAGCCTCTTGCCCTTGCCTGCACCCCAGGCTCAGTGGGTCTTGAACTTAGTGAGGTTCCCAGCAGTGTCTTCTCAGAATCCACATGGCTGGGCACCTTCTAATCAGCATGACTGGCCAAGTTCAATCCTGTTGCTTGTGTTGGGGCCTGGGGTCTGCTCAGTGTCCTGCCTGGGAGCCCTACCTTAGGGAGGAGAGCCAGGAGGGGAGCAAATCTGGAGCTGACCCTGGTTGGTGGCCTCTTTGCAGAACTCCTGTCACTCCCCACTGACTTAGGATTACCTGATGTCTCCCAGCACCTGGGCCCACCTCTACCCCAGCTCTGAGCCTTAGTCCACAATTTGCCACTTCCCCAGAGCCTAGTAATTTTGACAATTGCCTCAGATGGGTGGGGGCAGACCTTGGGTTTTGTGCCCAACAGCTGACCCCTTTTTTCCTGCCCTTCTCAGACCGCCCCTTTGATCCAGTGGGCCCTCGACCACGACTGGACTCTATGAGTTCCGTGGAGGAGGATGACTATGACACACTGACCGACATCGATTCAGACAAGAATGTCATTCGCACCAAGGTCTGACACCATGTGCCTGGCCCTGGTCAGGGGTTTTCTGAGGAAGGGACCTTTTATTTGAGGCCCTAGCCATCTGGTTCGTCAGGGAAGCAGAGGGAGAGAGCTCAGGGGAAACTAACTTTCCCTCCGACCCTTTGACCCCAGCACAGACCCTCTTGGTCTAACTGGTTACAGCAGTGGGATAGCCTAGAACCCTGAGCTGGGCCTGTATGAGGGAGGCCCCTTCTCCCAGATAGTGGTAAGTGGGGCTCACTCCTGATTCTCCTCAGCAATACCTCTATGTGGCTGACTTGGCACGGAAGGACAAGCGTGTTCTTCGAAAGAAGTACCAGATCTACTTCTGGTGAGCAGGACAAGCCGGTTCCTTGGGGGAGGTGGAGTGCTTCTCAGTCCTGCCCACCTCACTGCTCCTTGCTACTCCTCAGGAACATCGCCACCATTGCTGTCTTCTACGCCCTTCCTGTGGTGCAGCTGGTGATCACCTACCAGACGGTGAGAGGGCAGGGACTGGCTCAGTTGGCCACAATTCAGGACTCTGCCCTTACGTTCAGAGCCTCCTAGCTGGGAGCTCTGCAGTGAGTGCAGGTCTTAGATTCCATTGCCAGGTTTCCAATCCTAGCTCTGCCTATGAGCTGAGAGGCTTTGGAAAAATCAGTTAACCTCCCTGAGCATCAGTTTCTTTGTCTGCAAAATGGGGCAACATAAATGTTGTGAGAATTTTGAAACAAACACCATAGGACTTTGTAAGAGTTGGTTTCTCTTCCCTTTTCTCTAGACTGTGAGACAGGAACTTCTGTCATGATCATGCCTTGGGGTTTTCAGCCACAGCTATGGGGGTGGATAATGACTGCCACTTGGCATCCCTCTTTTCAAAAAGAGCACGTCCCCTGGGTACTACATGTACATGCTGTGTGTACACTTACTGTCTTGTCAGTCTGGCCCAGGTGGTGTGGCATGGGCCATGAGCTGAATCTGGCACATTAGCAGCCACATTTCCTGCCGCACTCCTGCTGCAGGTGGTGAATGTCACTGGGAATCAGGACATCTGCTACTACAACTTCCTGTGTGCCCACCCACTGGGAAACCTCAGGTGGGGATTGTGCTGGGAGTTCCCCTCTCCAGGGCAGTGGTGAACTGGGGAAGGGGCAGGGGCTTTGTGAAGTGCCTGCCTGGGCTGGGGAAGAGGCCTGAGTGTGAGGCCTAGGCTATGTGCCTTGTGTTGTTCCTTCTAGCGCCTTCAACAACATCCTTAGCAACCTGGGGTACATCCTGCTGGGGCTGCTCTTCCTGCTCATCATCCTGCAGCGGGAGATCAACCACAACAGGGCCCTGCTGCGCAATGACCTTTATGCCCTGGTGAGTGAGCTGCTGCCTGCTGAGACCAGCTCAGGCATACATTCTGAGCTTTGGCTCTAATGCATCCTTTCTGGCAGGCATGGCCTTGCCCAGCCCAGCTCTGCTGTGCCCAGACCTGCCCTGCTTGGCCCTGTACTGCCCCATCTTGCTCCACCCTCTCCTCCCTTGTCCAGTCTAGCCCTGCCCTGCCCTCTCTGCCCAGCCTGGCACGTACACCCACTCAATATACATCCCACTCTGCTCCTCTCGGGGTTCTCTCTTAGGAGTCCCTTCTTCCCTTCCCATTTCACCTTCTCTTCCTCCCCTGTAGGAATGTGGGATCCCCAAACACTTTGGTCTGTTCTATGCCATGGGCACTGCGCTGATGATGGAGGGGCTGCTGAGTGCTTGCTATCACGTCTGCCCCAACTACACCAATTTCCAGTTTGGTGAGTGGCATCTCCCTCTTCTCTGGGTAAACCTAGAGCAGGGATCTGCCCAAGCCCTCACCCACGGGATCCCCACAACAGCTGTGTAAAACCTCCCAAGCCTGGGGTGAGGACATATGAATGCACATGTCTGAAGTATAGAAAACAGGCAGCCGTCGATCTCTTCCTGCATGGAGGCATGTGTCATCACTGAGAACAGAGGGCATCAGGAAGTGGCCCCTGATGTCAGGGTGCTCACAGGCTAAGTCATTCAGACTAAGTTGACCTTGTCATCAGGTCAGACTCTTGGTGACCATCATTGTGGTGGCAGGGACATTAGGGACTACTGGAGCTTAGGTTAAGTACCAACTCACCCTGTGGCCATAAGGAGGCATTGGGCTCTCTCCTCTTCTCTAATTGTCGGGCCTGGGAGTTCTCTGCTGAGGCCTGGTAGATGTTTCTTTTTCTTTTTTTTTTTTCAACCAAGAGATTTTATTGGGGGCTGCCCGAAGGGGAAGAAAAGGAGAGAGCAGAGAGAGGAAAGGAGGAGGGCAGAGAGAAAGAGAAAGAGAGCAGAGGAGAGAAAGAAGAGGAAGAGGGCAGAGCCTGGTGGTACTTCTGTAGTTCACTCCTGTGTCCCCCAACCCAGATACGTCATTCATGTACATGATTGCTGGGCTCTGCATGCTGAAGCTCTATCAGAAGCGGCACCCAGACATCAACGCCAGCGCCTACAGCGCCTACGCCTGCTTGGCCATTGTCATCTTCTTCTCCGTGTTGGGCGTGGTGAGGGCCATTCACACACGTGGGTGTGCACATCCCCCTCCACCTCCTGCAGAAGAAATCTTGTTCCTTTCCTAAGGGAAATCCTAGCCTGGCTATGCAGCCAGCCCTAGCAAGGACAGGCATGGGAGTGGGTGCCAACAGCACCCCTCAGCTATGCCTCCTGTGGCCTCCTGACAGGTCTTTGGCAAAGGGAACACGGTGTTCTGGATTGTCTTTTCTGTCATTCACATCATCGCCACCCTGCTCCTCAGCACACAGCTCTATTACATGGGCCGCTGGAAGCTGGGTGAGGGCATGCTCAGGGCAAGATGTATGAGGGGGAGGCTGGGAAGCCCCCTGGAATGAGGGGTCAGTGGCCTCAGGGACTTGGACCTGCAGAGACCCTCTGGTTATGTCCTTTCACTGGAGATCAAGCTTGTCCCCCTGCTTTGCACCTTGGCCCCTGTGGAGGTACCACTGGGTGAGGAATTAGAAAAGGCCTTGGCATTCCTGGGTTCTCTGGGCCCTGGCTCCTCTCAGCTGGCATAGGCCAGGGGTCCAGCAAAGAAGGGTGCCCATGCCGTTCAGCTCCGTGCCCTCCTCCTTGCAGACTCGGGGATCTTCCGCCGCATCCTCCACGTGCTCTACACGGACTGCATCCGGCAGTGCAGCGGGCCCCTCTATGTGGTACCTGCCCAGCTCCCCAGCCCCGTTCTCCTCCGTATAGTCAGTTCCCTCCACGGGGATAGGGAGGTGTAGTGGGAAATCCAGGGTAGGGGTGGGGACCAGCTGACTTGGGCCTTCTGCCACTTCTCTCCCTATTTCTCTTCCCCCTCTCAGTCCCCGTGTCTCTGCTTCCCCCCAGGACCGCATGGTGCTGCTGGTCATGGGCAACATTATCAACTGGTCGCTGTGAGTGTGGCCATTGGCTGTGGTAGCCTGGCTGGGCAGACAGCTGGGGATGTGGCCAGCCACTGGCTGCCTCAGGGGCTGTGGACAACTTGTCAACCTTGGGCACCAGAAATTGGGGCTGAGGAGAGAGGTGTTGGTCCCTGGGTTTCAGAATCTTCTGTGAGCTTCTGAACCAAGTCCAACATCATGGTCAAGCATGGTGGGGTGGAGGCAAAGGAGAGCCTTCTGCTCTCGGCCCTCCCCTCTTCACTTGCCTCTCACCCTCTTCCCAGGGCTGCCTATGGGCTCATCATGCGCCCCAATGATTTTGCCTCCTATTTATTGGCCATCGGTATCTGCAACCTGCTGCTTTACTTTGCCTTCTACATTATTATGAAGGTGAGCGGGGAAGGACTGAGCCTCCTCTGTCAGCTGCTCTGCTTCTGGCCTGCCAGGCCCGCATTGAGGTGGAGTGAGAATTTTTCTGCTCGTCTGTCTGTGCCAGTGGGGTTTGAACAGCAGGAGGCTACACCCTCTTGTGTTTGACCCCTGGGAGCCACTGCTAGGCAAGATCCCTGCTACCAAGCTGCAGCCCAGCCCAGGGCCCTTTGGTTGCTGAAGACGTTGAGGAGGTGTAGCTCATTTTGTCAGTGATGGGCTTGAGCCTCTAAGGACCGGGGGCTTCCCAAGGGACCCCCCAGGCCATGCAGTGGGAGAGGAGAGCCCCCTGGCCAGGACCCTTTGTTGGCACAGGGTTCTGGGTACATGGAAGCCCAGAGAGGGTGAATATCAGGGAGAGGACCAGGCTGCTTGCATGGGGACTGAATGAGCTTGTAGTCATGAGGTGCTGTGAATCCAGGAAGGCTTCCTAAGGAGTGAGTCCTGGGAGTCTGAGAGGCCTAGGAGAGGAGATCCAGGGAAGGCCAGGATGTGGCCTGGGGGAGTCCTGGCTCTCAGCCCATTTCTCCCCCGACCCCCACCCAGCTCCGGAGCGGAGAGAGGATCAAGCTCATCCCCCTGCTCTGCATCGTCTGTACCTCTGTGGTCTGGGGCTTTGCACTCTTCTTCTTCTTCCAGGGACTCAGCACCTGGCAGGTAAGGAGTCACTCCCAGGCTCACCATGAGCTGACACAGCCTGATGGGGCTGTGGGCCAGCACTTCCATAGTTGCTTTCTCATTACTTCTCCTGATATTCAACATTCTAGCACCAAGATAGCCCCATTTTACTTATGAGGCAGCTGAATCTCAGAGAGGCCAAGTGACCTCCCCAGGGGCACAAAGCCAGCTGGGGTTTCAAGCTAGAGCTGTGAGACTCTCTCCCCAACCTCAAAGGGCACTGCTGTGTGTAGGGCTTTGAATCTGTAGTCAGAACTAAGTCTGACATGATATCTATCTATGAGGCACTTATATCTAGTTCAAGAGAGTCACTGATCTCTTGCGTTTTTGTTTTTCAGTTTTATTTATTATTTTGGTGTTAGGAATGAACCCCAGGCTCTTGCACATGCTAAGCAGATACTCTTATCACTGAGCTATATCCCAGCCCCTAGTTTATATCTTGCTGTTTACAACATATTTAAAATGAAGAGCAAGGGTAAGCTAGGATATGGGTATTCAGGACAGAGGATGGAGAGGTCTCTGTGAGGTAGGAGGTCCAGGAAAACTTTCCGAAGGAAGCAGGCTTTGCTCTTGGCCATAGAGGCTCTGGGTGATGGGGAAGAGCCCTGTGGCCCAGAAATGCTTGACCTGAGTAATGATACAGAGGTAGAAATGAATAAGGTAGATTTGGAGGTCAATGAATGTACCAGTTTGGGAACCAAGCAAGGACTGCAAGATCCTCGAGGGCAGGGTGGGTTGTGGTCCTGCCTGAGCCCTCAACTTAGAATAGCCCTGGATACAGGGTGGGTGATCGGTAAATGTTTGGGGGGTAGAGGTTGTAGATGTCTGGGGGGTGAGGTTGTAGATAGAGTAGGGAGGACCTTGGGAATCTCAGGTCGTGGCCACTGTTGTCTGGAGCAAGGTTACGACCTGACAGTAGTGCTGGAGAAAACAGTAAGCCTGAAGGACAGATGAGAGCAGGGGGTTAAGTCCAAGGCAGGGTGCTGAGTTAGGAGTCAGCTGTGTCTTTGGGAATCTCTTGAGTTGATGGCATCTTCAGTTAATCATGTCTCCCTGCTTTTAGATAAGGGAAGAAGAATCTGAAGGGGGGAGGATGAGACTAAAATAAAACGAAAGAATAGAAGGCAGCAATCTTGGGCAGAAATTTGTAACAAAAGTCCATTTCTTAGATGTGGGGGATGAGGACCAGAGACAAGTCAGAACAAGGCACTTTCCTGACCAGCTGGGAAGTGGGGGTGTCCTGGAGTGATACTGGGGGTGGGCCCAGCCCTAGCCTTGCCAGGGCAGGGCAGGGTCAGGAGGCAGCTCTCCCTGTGCTTCCCCCAGAAAACCCCTGCAGAGTCAAGGGAGCACAACCGGGACTGCATCCTCCTCGACTTCTTTGATGACCATGACATCTGGCACTTCTTATCCTCCATTGCCATGTTTGGGTCCTTCCTGGTAGGCACTGAGCCCAGGTGGGAGGGTGGGTAGGGGCAGAGGTTACCTCTTTCTCTGTGCCTGATGCAGTGGCCATCTCCCAGGTGTTGCTGACACTGGATGACGACCTGGATACTGTGCAGCGGGACAAGATCTATGTCTTCTAGCAGGAGCCAGACCCTTCGCTTCACCTCATGGGGCTCTGAGCTCCTCTGTCACCTGCCAGTTGCTTCTATAGCTCTGGAGGTGTGAGTCCCAGGCCTGCTGCCCAGCACTGGGTGGCAGCGGGACGGCAAGGTCTAGTCCAGACCTAACTTGGGACAGTCACAGGGTGGCATGGGCCTCGCAGCTACCCTCTGCAAGGGAGGAGGCCTGCTCCCTGATACCCCAGACATTGGCCAAACTGCTGCTTTCTTCTCAGTGTTGGGGCTTTCTGTGGTCCCATCCCTTGGCTGTTTGTCCCTCTTCAGGAGGAAGGAGAGAAGGCAATGCCCTCCCCATTTCATGCCTTCCATTCTGCCCATCCTTCTCCTCCCCCTCAGCCTGGACCCAAAGCCCTTTCTTCCTCCCATGCTCCTGCTCCAGGGCCCTGGACTGGGGCCTGATTCTCTGCCCTGTCCCAGGATCACAGTTCTCTGGGACTGTTCCTGGCTGCCATCACTGCCCAGGATGGATATGGCTGTGGGATTTCAGGGGTTGGCTGGTTGGTGCCAGGCTTTTGGTGCTAAGGCCTGCAAGGGGCCCAGGGCAGGACCCTCCTCCCTCGACCTGCACTCAGTCTGACTCTTTAGCAATGAGAGTCAGCTCAATTTGAGAGCTGCCTCTTGTCTGAAGGGCTGGATTCAGATGTTACCCTCATCCCATGAGTGCTCAGACTGATGCCAGCACCAGGATTGGAAGGAAAAGTAACTCACCCGTCCGTCCCTTTCTGTATTTCTATGCCCTCGGTCCTGCCAAGCCCCAGCTGGGGCCTTTCAGTGCCATTGACACTGCCCAAGAATGTCCAGGGGCAATGAAGGGATGGTGCAGAGCCCAACCTTCACCATGGCCACAAGGGTCCCAGTGCCTACTTTAGAAAGAAAGGGACATGCCATTGTCCTTTATGTCCCCAGGCTCAGACTCACTCTAGGACCCAGGGCTGGCTTCTGAGTTTCCGTCCAGGCTCCAGCCAATTTCTTTTTTGGTTACACACACACACACACACACACACACACACCTTGGAGTTTACATGGAGATGCCCCCAGCTCTGGGCCTCCTGGCCACTCCAGTCCTTGGCTTCCCTTCACCTCACCTGGTCCATTCCAGATGCCAAGGACAGGGGCCATCAGGTCAGACCTCTGCCTCTGGGGTGGGAATGTGCATTATTCTCCCCAAGTTGTTTTTATAGCTCTGCTTGGGCTGGGGAGAGGAGATGGGTCTGGGTCTTTTGTTTCAGAGCCCTGGTTTGTCTTTCCATGCTACGGTTGTGTTTGTGTTTTCTATGAATGAGTGCATTCAATAAAGAGACAACCAGATGCAGTTCCTGGGCCCTTGTTTGCTCTTATGTCCTGGGTGGAGATGTTGACACTGGTTGTGGTGAGGGGCAGTGTTCTCCAGGTCCCATTTCTCCTGAGACCTTCTCTTTTCCATGCCATGGTTGCATTAGGTTTCTTGATTCCCCCGTGTTTTTCTCTGCCTTGAACAACATCATTAAGTCACTAAATATTTTCTGGGGGCCTACTTTGTACCAGGCACTGTGCTGGGCACAGATTAGATATTGGAAAATCCTTTGCCATGCAATCTACCCTCAAAGATCCCCCCTTACCTGGCAAATAGCAACTGCCTCTACCTACCTGGCCTCCACCCACCCTGCTGAGACCAGCTTCATTTCTGCCTGAGCATTTCCCAGCTCTGCAGGCTGCAGGCCCAGGCAGTGCTCCCGGATGTGGCTTTAGTTGGCAGTGTGTGCAGGCCATGGCAAGGGGGTGGTCAGGGATGGCAAGATGGTAATGGATGGTGGGCAAGCCCCAAGAGAAGGGGATTTTGAGATATTCTTGGAAGGTTTGTTTAGATTTCAGCAGGCCGAGGACAAGACTTGGGGGCCAAGGAGTTGTGAGTTCAGGACACTAGGTGAGTTCAGAGGTCTAGGATGTCTCAGAATGGAGGGGTGGGCTTTTCTCTTGCTGATCTTTAGCTTCTCTCCTCTTTTCCCTTCAGGTGCCACTGAGAGGCACTGTTGCTCTATATATCACTAGGCTCTGGCGCTGGCAATACTAGCTGTGGTGGGCGGAGCTTCTGAGCCAGGCTCTGTGCCTCCCTGCCAGGCCTGTCTGTTCCTCCTGCAGCCTTGCTTGGCTTGGGGTGTTGTACAGTGGAGAGCGTTACATCCTCCTTACCAAGTCTTAGGATGGTGGGTGCCACAGCAGTAGCCCAAAAACCCCACTGGAAGTCTCCCACTTTTTTAACCTATCCCTTCTCAAGGCTCCTGTAGCAAGCCACAAGCAAGGTGTCAGTGGATCTTCCTCTTGGGGTGATGTAGTCTAGTCTGTTTTCAAGAGTAGGTAGGGCAGTCCCTGAGTTCAATCCCCAATTCTAAAGGGAGGGAGGGATGACCCAACTTCCTGAACCTTCTACCCTAGTGTTAAGTGTCTCCAGTCCTGCTGTGCTTTGGAGAACTTTTTATCACTGCCCTCTGGATGCGGCCACTGTTCACTACAGTACTGCTGAGTCCTCAAATCCTACTCCCTCCTAAAGTATGTAACTAAAGATGAACCCCAACTGAAAGCTGTCCCCAGGATGGTACAACTGAGAAGAGTGGGTATGGCAGATGTGATAGTACCAGTCTGCAATTCCAACTATTTGGAAGATGAAATAGGAGGATGGCAAATTGTAGGCCAGCCCCAGCAACTTGGAATGTCTTGAAATTAAAATGGCTGGGAATGTAGCTCAGTGGTGGAGCATACCTGAGTTCAATCCCCAGATTGCAAAAAAATTTAAAAAGTGGGTGTGACAACTTCCCTAGTGCCCAACAGAGGTGGACAGGGTGCCTGTTTCTGCCACTCACCACTCATCATGTGGCCTCAGTCATCATAAAATGGGGATAGTAATACAGTCTCACCATGTGGCTGTGTTAAGTGACAGTATTTGCAAAGTGCCTGGCATGGAGTAGGTCCTTAGTAAAGCATAGTTCTCACCTCTGACTAGAGTTAGAAGCCCCAGGAGGAGAGAAGGTGACTGTTTTACCCCTACAAGTCCCAGGGATCCCCAGCTCCCTGGTCCCTTTCCTCTCTGGCAGACTCTCTTGAGTTCCTCCTCCCAAATTCGGGGGCAGGGAGAAGTGAAGCAGGAGCAGCCCTAAATCCGGAGGCAGGGAAGGCCTTTGTGGTCCTGCCCATAAAAGGCTTTTCCCGGCCCGACTCCTGCAGGCAGCATGCCCCGCCCCGGCCCGCTCCATCTCCAAAGCACGCAGAGAATGTCTCGGGCAGCCCCCGACAGACTGCTCCAACTTGGTGTCTTTCCCCAAATATGGAGCCTGTGTGGAGTCACTGGGGGGCGGGGGAGGGGAGCGGACCAGAGTCGGTTTCCTCGGCAGGGAGGGGGCTGAGGGCGAGCTGGCGGGGAGGCTGACGTCACCACAGTGGCAGCCCTTTAAACCCCTCACCCAGCCCCTGCCCCATCCTGTCTGCCAAGCCCAGACTCGAGGCCATACTCCCTGCTGCCAACTCTGAGGAAGCCCTGTGAGTGAGTACACTCTCCAGGCCTGGGAGGGAACTGGGGCTGGAGCTCCACGCAGTGGTGTATTTCAGGCAGGACTCTCCAGAGGTCTCCAGGGTGGTGGGCTTGCTGGCTGGGAAAGACCACAGCCCTCTCAGTTTGTATTCCCAGGCTCCAGACCTGAGCTGTCCATTTGATGCATAGGATGGATCCCTGGAGTCCTGAATTTGAGACTGGGTAGCCCCAGTCTTCCTGAAATGCTCAGATGATTTGGCTGGTGCAAAGGGCTGTGTGGTGGAAACAGTTGGCATAAGAGGGAGGCTCCGCATTTCTGTGACACTCACACTACAGGGTGTGTGTGCAAACTCAAGGCATTGCCTGATTAGGCCAAGGCTGTGTGTCCCCTCTAGGAGAAGTCGAAAGAGGTGAGGGCCACGTGAGGTACTAGTTCTGGAGAGCAGTGGCCCCTTGGAATTGTCCCAGGGTTTGAGCAGCATAGGGGAACCCCAGAGTGAGCTCCTAAGGCAGTGTGAAGGACCACAGAACTCTTTTTCTTTCTCTCTTTTCCTTCCTTCTTTCCATGGTGCTAGGGATCAAGCCAGGGCTTCTTGTATGCAAGCATCCCTCTACCACTGAGCTATACCCCCAGCCACACAGAACTCTTGCATTTCAGAACAGGCTGGGGTGGCAGGATGAAAGGAAAAGCTGGAGAATTTCTCTTACTGGGAGCAGCTTCTTCCACAGGCTGAAAGAGTCCCCCCCCCCCCCATTACAGGCAGATGGGTGGCAGGTTCAGGAGCTTTGAAGAAATAGCTGGTCAGGTTGGGGATCCTTAGCCCTTCCCACTGTGTCTCAGTGGTTCGCCTTCAAAGGGTAGCTGTGAGGTGGGCCATGTTTATGTAGTAGGGGTAATTTTGGTCCCTGGAGTTTAGATGAGCCACCCCTAGTACTTTAAGGGATCTGGATGTACTCACTCTTGTTCGCTGTGTTTTCTGGTGATGAGAGCAGGGGTCCCACAGTCCTGGAGAGACCCCTTGGTCAGCTTGTTCTTCTAGGCTCTGGCTAGAAGAAGGTGCTTCCTGCCCTTTTTCCCACTGCCCACCCTCAAAAAAGGGCTTACCTCGGGGACAGGAGGCCTGACAAGGAGCCACAGGGCAAGAGCATCAAGGCTGAGCACCAGTCCTCCTGACCCCAGAGCTTTGTCTAGAAATGCCACTGGTTGGGCTGCCCTGCCTCTTTCTTTCCTTCTCCTCTTCCCAATGGCTTGAAGGTGGGACTGGGGTGGCTTCCATCAGAGGACTCTAAAGGATGTCCTGGGACTCTCCACTTTCAGTATCTCCACCAGGAGGGAGGCAGGGAAGAAGAGAGGTGCTGGGTGGAGGTGACGCGAAGAGCATTTCATTGCCCTTCCTTGCTCTGACCAAAATCCAAATATGTCTCTAGATCGAGGGGCTGCAAAGTTGTGTTCTTGTCACCATGAGCCTTGACTCCTTGACTTGTGCTTTCTCTCCGAACCTCTTGGGACAGAAAGCTGCCGGTGGGGTGATACACTCTCCTTTCATGCTGTTCCTCCCTTGCCCAGCATGCGGTGTGGGTGTGGGAAGGAAGATGTGAGGGTGGGAGGGGGCAGGGGATAGAAGATGATGAACATCTTGGCCTGGACACCTATCTGGGATGGTGGGACAAAGGTCCAGACGGAGGCTGGGTGGAGGCCAGAAGGAAGGATTGGCGGAAATCAGTTGGCTGGTCCAATTGAATTGTGACTTTTGGCTACAGTCCTTTGTGCAGGAGCCCGTGGGTGGGCCAGACAGTGGGTTGGGGACGGAGGGTCTTGGCTATGTGCAGCTGACCAGGGGAACACTGCCTCAGGATTCCCCTGCATCATCAGTTGGAAAAGGGGTGGTGGGCTAAGAATTCCACTGCCCCCCAGTGCTCAGAGCACCACGTCCTTGCAATGACTCACCTCTACCGTACAAATGAGGACACGGACTCAGAGAGAAGGCTGGCATTGAGAGGAGGTTCTTGCGGGGGTTTTTGTTTGTTTTTTCTCTCTCAAACTTTGTCACGGGATCAGGGAATGATTTTGAGAAGAGGGTGGGTGTTGGAGGGGGTGATGATCATTCACTGTGTTTGTCTTCCTGGCCAAGGCTGGCCCTCTCAAGGTCACCTGCAGGAGACCACTAGGCCTAGGCAGTTGGGAAATAGTTCACAGATGCTATGTCATTTTCACCACCCTCTGCATGGATCCTGTCATCCTGTTTCACAACTGGGGAACATCAGCTCAGCAAGGCTGTCCGCCACGGGGAAAGGAAGGGCAAGACAATGGAGTTGGCCGGGACCAGAGTGATGTGATGACGAAGCTCACTCTGCTTCCCATGGGATGGGGGATGGAGAAAGGGTCCCAGGCCTCACATGTGGGAGGTGAGGGAGGGTGCTGACTGCCTCCATCCTCACATCATTCTCTCCCTCCCAACCTCTGACTTTTCAGAGGCCATGGGATGGGTCTGGCCTCCTCTGCTACCTCTTTTGGAAGGCTCTTCAGATAAATCCATACCAGGGTGACACCTGTGGTCAGGTCCCATTTCTCTTGACCAGCCACACCCATGTCTGCCCAGAAACCCATGCCCCTGCTCCTGTAGCCTTCCCTCCTCTCGAGTGCCAAGCCCAGGCCCTGAAGCAGCAGCTGTGGCCTGGGGCGGGGCTTCCCATGCTCTGGCTGGCAGATTCTTGGCTCTGGAATATCCCTGGGGGGCCCTGACTTCTTGGTTCCCTAAGCTACTGCAGTGTCAGGAGCCTGAGGGGTGGGGAAAAGTGAATGGGTACGTCAGCTCCCTGGAGGAAATGCAGCTGCTCTGCCAAAGACTCTTGGGTTTTGGTGGCTTTGCCAGTCTCAGCCTCTTCCGCTGTAAGACCAGAGACTGAGTGGACCTGGCAAGGAGCTGAAGTTTTGCACTTCCAACTTCTGTGCCAATAAGGGTTGGAGGTAACTTGTTCCTTGAGGCAGAAGCAGTAAACTACTTCACATCTACCTGGACAATGACAACTTCTGGCTTGATTTTGGGGGGTGATATGACCTCTGGAAGGCCCTTCCAGCGCCTCTAGCCAGTCTTAACAAAGACTCTAGACCAGGGCACAGGTTCTAGCCTATTGTCTGCTTTTGTAAATAAAGTTTTATTGACACATAGCCATGCTCATTTGTTTATGTATCGTCTATGACTATTTTCATGCCACAACAGCAGAGAAGATATGGCCCATAAAGCCTAAAATATTTACTGCCTGATTCATTACACAGAAAGTCTATAGATCCCTGCTTAGAACTCCGAACCTCTTATGTCCTGGGGTTCAAGTTCAGAAAGGCCTCTACACTAAGGGGATGGGTCTGGCCTAAATGTGCTGCAGTAAATGTCTTTATGCAGAGCTAGAAGATCTGCCTGGCACAAACGAAAACAGCAGTTTCCTAATTCTGTGACCCTTTCCCTTCTCTGCCCTGCTGTGATTTAGCTCTCTTGCAACATGGCCAACAAGGGTCCTTCCTATGGCATGAGCCGTGAAGTACAATCCAAAATTGAGAAGAAGTATGACGAGGAACTGGAGGAACGACTGGTGGAGTGGATCATAGTGCAGTGTGGCCCTGATGTGGGTCGTCCAGATCGTGGCCGCCTGGGTTTCCAGGTCTGGCTGAAGAATGGTGTGGTGAGTGGCACCCTGGGAAGGGGAAGGGGGCTGGGGTTGTGCCATCCTGAGGTGCAGGGTCAGGACCTCTAAGATGAGTGCCACGCTGTGTCCTATGCCTGGCAGATTCTGAGCAAGTTGGTGAACAGCCTGTATCCTGATGGCTCCAAGCCAGTTAAGGTTCCAGAGAACCCACCCTCCATGGTCTTCAAGCAGATGGAGCAGGTGGCTCAGTTCCTGAAGGCAGCTGAAGACTATGGGGTCACCAAGACTGACATGTTCCAGACTGTTGATCTCTTTGAAGGTACAAAGGGAAAAGGGGCTGGAACCAGTCGGGAGGGAGGCAGGCAGGCAGGTGACCAGGATTCTGAGGCAGGGAGAAGGAATGATCAAATATGCCTCATCCAGGGTCTAGTAATCTGTACCTAGCAGTAACAGGAATTGCCAAGAGAATGCTACACTGTACCAACAAGGACTTACTGGAGCCTCCTTTGGTTTGGGGACAATGCTTGTCCCTGGCATTCTGAGAGACAGGGGCTATCTCTGGTGAAGTCCTGTCTATATCGTCCTGAAAATGTCTCCTGGCTGCTCTTTCTTCTTATAGGCAAAGACCTGGCAGCAGTGCAGAGAACTCTGATGGCTCTGGGCAGCCTGGCAGTGACGAAGAATGATGGGCACTACCGTGGAGATCCCAACTGGTTTATGAAGTATGTGGCCACCAGGGATCTCAGCCTGATTTCTTCATGGGATGGGGGTGGCTTGGGCTATTCAGCTTGTGGGAATGATCAGAGGAAGCAGAGCTCCAGGAAGGTACCAAGTGAGGGTCTAGGACGGGGGGAATTATTGTTTATGCTTCTTGACTCCTTCCTTTCTTCTCTCCTGTGCTCAAGAAGGTTCCTCAGCCTCTGGGGTCAGCTAGATGAGGGGGAAAAGAGTGAAATCGGAAAGGAATGGAATCTGATGAGGAAGCAACTGAGGGACTAGAAAACAGGTGGAAGATACCAAGTTCTGGCGAGTCTTTATCCTGGTTCCTCTTCTTCTAGGAAAGCCCAGGAGCATAAGAGGGAATTCACAGAGAGCCAGCTGCAGGAGGGAAAGCATGTCATTGGCCTTCAGATGGGCAGCAACAGAGGGGCCTCCCAGGCCGGCATGACGGGCTACGGAAGACCTCGGCAGATCATCAGTTAGAAGGGGAGGGCCAGCCCGGAGCCCTGCTTGCCCGCCCGCTGGCTGCTGCCCTCCTGCTTAGCCTGCCTCACTTGCAGCTGTGTGCGTTCTTAGCGCTGTCCAGGTGTAAGGCTGTCACTGGGCAGAGGAGACTGCACAGTGGCAGCTCTTCACACCCCCCAGCCTCAGCCCTACTTCTTACCTCAAAGCACCACTGCCCTGGCCCCTTCTCCCAGCTGTACCCCCGCCTCTACTGTCTCCCTGTCCTAGGCTGAGCAGGGGGACATGGGCTGGGATAGTGTGGGTATGGGGCAAGCCCATTCTCCTCCTTGGCAGCAAGAGCCCATTGATGGAGACCCAGCCGGCTTTCCCCCATCTTTTTCTGGAATTTTCCTTTTGGGGTTAAAATTCAAAAAGGAAAAAATATATATACGTCCATCTTTTCTCAGGCCTGTCTGGCAGAGTTTGATTTGCCCTAGTCATTCCTGTTATGGTTCCAGGAAACCCAAGCAGAAAGCAGGTGGCATCTGGGGTTCGGGTGTGTTCCTGGCTGCTGTCCTTTGGAGGACTCTTCATGCAGGCCATGGACAGGAGAGTGAATCTTGAGGACTAGAGGGGAAGAGGAGCCACCTGGCTCCTGGCATTAGCTCTGGGCAGGCAGAATAAATGGGGAGTGGAAGAATTGTTTGGAAGCTTTTTATTTTGGAAAAGCTGTGCAGAAAAAAAATCAACAAAATGTTGCTGTGAAAAATCAAATCTTAAGCATTAAAAAAATTCAAATCAACGAATCAGCTCAGAAGGGAGGAGGCCAAGAGAGGGAGCAAAAGTAACAGCCTGTCAGGCGGACAGAGGCCTCCCGGGGGAAGGCCATTTCCCTGAGCACTTTGCAGAGGAAGACAGGGTGGTCATAGGGTTAGTTAAGTGGCAGTGGCTCCCCAGGCTGTCTCCTAAAACACTTGTCTCACACCTGTCCACAATCCTGCCACAGACTTCCTGATGAAGTGGCATGGGCCCTGGGGAGCAGTGCCCCTTCTCAGCTGTACCAGGAGCACCATACTGATCCTTCAGAAGGAGGAAGGGTGGGGGGTGATGACAGAGGGAGTCAGGGGCACGTTCAAAGTTGGCTTCAGACCAGGAGTGCAGGGAGAGACAATGGAGGCAGCTGCTTGTGGGCAGGCATGTAGAGGGTTTTACCCAACCTCCCACAAGCCCTCTTCCCAAGTAACCCAGTCATGTTCCTGGTGATGCAGGCACCTTCTCCACCCATGCATGAGCAGGGGTCCCTATGACTTAAATCACTGGCTTGCCTGAGAGAGAATGGGGATGGAGGGAGGCCTGCCCCATGCAGGCACCAATCCCTTGTCTAGGACCTTCTCACCAAAAGCTCCCAGTCTGCGGGAGAAGGATCCTGTGTTTCACCAGACTGTTCTCTTGCATCAGTCCTCTGCCACTTGTACTGAGGAAGGCCCTTACCCTCCCTGAGGGCAGCCCAAACATACTGTTTAGGCCTTGGGTTCCATATGTAAGCATCAGGACTGCTTTCTCTCCAGAGTTCCCCAAAGTTGGGAAGGAAGAACCTGTCCACATTGAGTCTATCAGGCCCCGAGGTCAACAAATCTGCTCCTCCTTTCCCTGCAACAGGTCTAAGGGTTGGTGCTGAGGATTCTTGTTCTGGGATATGCTCCAGTCCTCTTCATCGAGCAGGTCTGAGGTGAGGAGGCCAGAGGTGGTAGAAGGGCCCCCTCTCTCTGTCTCTGCTCCATCTAGATCCTTGCTGTTGCAAAGTGGCACTGATTCTAGCTCTGTCCCCTCTTCCTTGGATTTTCGGCTCTGTTGGGGCCAGTGGCAGGGTCCACTCCTACAGCCTGGAGTGGAAGCCACATTCCTCTGGCTCAGATATACTTCCAGCATGTAGTAAATGGTCCAGAAGATGGTGAAACAGCCCACCAGCACCAGGGTCTGGAGAAAAGTCAGGTACCTATGTTAGGGACTGCTTCTAGCCCAGAACCATGAGCTTGGGGAGTCTCCCCTTCTGGGCACGGCTTCTCTCACCTCTACCCCTCATGCCGCTCCCCCACACAAGGACTGCCCCCTAAGAGAAGGAGCAATGCTCTGAAACCACTGTTGGGACCCAGGTCTTACCCACCCTTGCCATAAGATCATCCTGAATAGCCCCAAGGACTAAACCCCCAGCACAGTCCTGTCTGCCCCTAATTGGAGTCTTGGCCCTAGTACCTTCAGGGTGTTGGGGGTAATGGTGTAACCATCTTCCTCAGGAATTGTCAGCCCAGGTGGGCAAGGTAGAGCAAAGCCATCATGTAGATATTTTCCACTCATGGCACTTTCTAACAGCCTGTGGAGAAGAAAAGGGATTAGGACGCCCTACTGAACATGGTTCCTATGCCATCTGCCCTCACCCAGCCTCCCACCTTACAGCTGAAGAGAGGGAGAAAAGGCCTACAGGAAACAGGGCAAGAGCACACTGGGGCTTCCTAGCCCATGGCTCTGTCTACACATATGAGCCTGGAGTTGGGAAGCACAGCTGGGGTTCAGAAGGAGAAGGGGCTCCCCGTGTGGCCTCTTCCTTATCCCTTCACGAGTTGCCTTCCCTCTGACACATGCAGCTACACCTACCTTTGTCTGTCCCTGATGTCTACTGGACTCCACACAGAGCCATACAGGGTCAGCTGCCAGTGCTGGAGGATGCCAACCTGGAGCGGCTCATCTCCTGGGGTGGCAAGTGGGTAGTCCATGAGCAATGCCCCTCCGTAGGCCATACCAGCCCTCCCGCCACCCAAGGGGACTCAGACCATGTGGCCTGCTGTAAAGGTTGTCTAACTATGTCCCACAGACCCTGGGGTTCTGCACAAGTGCCTCACAGGGTGCCCTAGGGATGGAAAGGGAAGGTGGAAAGGATATACTCCGAGCAGAGTTGAGCCTTTGTCTTCCATATTTTGCAGTTTCAGATTTTTTTTGGAAAGAAAAAATACTTTTCTACCAAATTAAAGAAGGTTTGAAAACCACTGATCTGGTGAATACCTAACTTGACTGGAAGTTGGGAGGGCTGGGCTCAGTTTCCAGTCTCCTCACTGATACTGTAGATATTTAGCATTCACTGATACTCTGACCTTCACTACTATTTTGACTTTATAAAAGTCACTTCAAACCTCTGGGCCTCAGTTTAAAAAAAAAAAAATGGTGAAAATTAGTCCTGCCCTTACCTGCCTACCAGGGCTGGCCGAAGGATGATTATATGTGAAAAGACTTGAAATGTGGTTTCAACAAGGAATTTTTGTTGCTATCCTGAGGAAAAATGGATCAGTCACTTCTCCAAGGAATAGTATAAAAGAACAGTTTTAGAGATCAGTGCTCAATTTCTGGATGGGGCACATTTCTTAGCCACCGGCAACCCTATATATTCCACATGGGACAGCTTCTGGGGGGACTCTGAGAGCCACAGGGACCAGAAGACAATCATGAGAGGCAAGGCCCTGAAGGAAGGGTGGGGAGGCTCACCTACATCCCTGATAACGAGTCTGTAGATGCCTTTTGCCCTCTCCCCCCAGCACCGCACAGTGGAGAAGGTCCAATCGTTGAAGCCATTGGGATCCCTAGGGACAGAACGAAACAGAAAACATGGGAAGCATGGCACAGGGAGCTGCCCCTTCTCCAGAAGCATCATTTTCTTACTGTAGTAGGCACAGAAAGGAGCTACAGTCATTTTGGAGGGTGTCACATGGGGTTCTCAAGGGCTGTCCCTTGCTCCTGGGATCTCAGGGAATGAGGGACTTGGTTCCATGTGGCAGAGTGAAAAAAGCTAACCTGGAGAGAGCACAGATCTGGGAGTCCCACAGATCTATATTTATTCTTACTCACTCAGGCACTTCTAGCTCCATAATTTGTTCACTCATTTGCCAAAGGAGGTTACAAAGTCTATTTCTTTAAGGATCAGAGCAAATATATGTAGAGTACAATGCCTAGCACATTGTAAACACTTGAATAAAGCATGTGATCAACAGCTTCCAGCTGCCAAGAATAGCCAGTGCCACACTTGCTTAGGACAGTGCCAGTATCTATTTGAAAAGGCTCTTGTTGCAGAGAGCTCAGGGGTCATGGACAGATGTACGTACGAGTCCATGCTGCGGGGGGCGCCGATAAGGGACATCATGCCACTGGGGCAAAACAGTTTCAGTTCCAAGCTGCCGCGTCGTGGGTGAGTGATGGAGACTGTCACTGCCACATGCTCCAGGGTCTTCAGTCCTGACATCTCCAGGTCCGTCCTGCTGACTGTAGGAAGTCAGGCTGGGCAGCCGGGAATCCAGCCCACAAACACTTATACCCTCACTTCATCCCAATGTACACAAAAGCATGAGCTTACTGAAGCCACACACACAAACATCTACGGCAAACTGAACCGTGACCCAGTGTACACTGGTGACAGGAATGCAGTGCTGCTTTGGAGTTCACAACCTAGTTTAGAGTATTGTTGGGAAGACAACATACACAACCAAGACACAATATAAGAACCCAACTGAAGGGCTGGAGATGTAGTAGTAAAGAGCCTGCCTAGGATACTAAAGGCCCTGGGTTTGATCCCCAATACCGCAAAAACAAAACAAAAAGCAAAGCAAAACAAACAAAAAACAATAAAAACCAAAATAAAACAAAAAAATAAGAACCTAATTGAGTAACTTCAGTCATTCATTCATGCATCCAAAAATTATCTACTGAGTACATCCTACTTTTCAGGCACTGTACTAGATGCTGGGAATGTAAAGATAAGTTGGGCATGAACCCTGCCTTATACTCACAAATGGAAAATTATATGATATGACCTTGATAAGGGAAAAGACATAAGTCAGATGAGTTGAGGTAGATAATAGACATGCTGAAAAGGAAATGAAAACTGATTGGGAGAAGATATTCTAGAAAGAATTTACAAAGATAAAGGGCATGTATAAAGACGTGAACAAGTCTCATATATGGAAGACAATATAAGTATTAATTTTTTTTCAGTACTGGGGATTGAACCCAGGACCTCGTACTTGCTAAGTGCTCTACCACTGAGCTACATGCCCTATCCTTTTAATTTTGATACAGGGTTTTGCTAAGTGCCCCTGGCCTCTTGCCTCAGCTTCCCAAGTCACTAGGATTGCAATATAAAATTGATTAAAACAAAATAAAGGGCTGGAGATGTGGCTCAAGAGGTAGCGTGCTCGCCTGGCATGCGTGCGGCCCGGGTTCGATCCTCAGCACCACATACAAACAAAGATGTGGTGTCCACCGAGAACTGAAAAATAAATATTAAAAATTCTCTCTCTTTAAAAAAAATTTGAACTTATTGTATCAAAATAGATTCTACTGCAATGTATAACAATTAAAAAATAATTTGAATTAAAAAAAAAAACTACCAAAGTAGATAAACTTCAAGGAAATCATGCTGAATGGAAAAAGCCAATCTTCAAATGATACATACTACATAATTTAACTTACATGACATTTATTTTATTTTTTGGTACCAGCGATTGAACTCAACCACTGAGCTACATCCCCAGCCCTATTTTGAATTTTATTTAGAGACAGGGTCTCACTGAGTTGCTTTGTGCCTCGATAAGTTGCTGAGGCTGGCTTTGAACTTGCAATCCTCCTGTCTCAGCCTCCTGAGCTGCTGGAATTACAGGTGTGTGCCACCGCACCCAGCCTTACATAAAATTTATGAAATAATATAACTGAGGAGATGGAGAACAGACTTGGGGTTGCCAGGAGCTAGGGATGGGAAAAGAACATGAGTGTGAGGTAACTCAAAGGAGTCCCGTGATGGCATATTCTAGACCTTGGTTATGGTGATGGTTACACAAGGATACACACATACACAAATAGACTGCATGTCAACCTAGTGAGAACCAACCCATATGAATTGCACTAATGTCCATTTTTTGGTTTTGGCATTATTATTGTGTACAATGTGATTAGAAGAGGGTGCATGAGATTTTCCTGTACATTATTTTGCAACCTCCCATGAATCAACAATTATTTCAAAATAAAATTGGAAATAAAAACTAATGAAGTGGAAGACTCAATTTGGGCTTATTAAGAAATTAGATTGCAATAAAAGAATTCTTTTTAAAGCAACTTTTCTTCCAAGAATTCATTCCAATATATAAGACAGAGCAGTACCTTCATTTTACAGATGAAGAAGCTCAGAGAGGTATTGGATAGTAGGAGAAAGGAGACATAGGATGGGAAGGACTTTAACATTCTTTTTTAAAGATTTTAAACAAGCATTTAAGAGCTATTATAAATTATTGAGCAATGATGCAGTTTAAAATAAAAAATGCTCAAGGAAAGTTAATCTAACAGCTATCTGTGGGTAGGATAAACCAGGGAGAAGAAAACCAGCTCACTCTAGGGGTGAGGTGATGTGTGTGTGGATAATTGGGATGGAAGGAGAAAGGAAAGGCTCAAGGTACTCTTTTATGGGGGTGGGTGGGAGGAGCAGTACTAGGGATTGAAGCCAGGGCCTTAACCATGCTAGGTAAACATCGAGCTACATCTCTAGCCCTTTATTTTTTAATTTTGAGACAGTCTTGCTAAGTTGTTCAGACCAGCCCTTGAACTCCCACTCTTCCTGCCTCAGGCTCCTGAGTAGCTAGGATTACCGCCATGCCCAGATTTCTGTGCTTCCTAGTCCTTGATCTCCTCTTACTCCCCCTCACTTTGTTCACTGAAGAGTGACGGCTCCCCTTCTCCACTGTGACATCAACCTCTCTCTAATTCCATAACTTCTTTTATTTTTGGTAATGGGGATTGATCCCAGGAGCGCTTTACCACTGAGCTACATTCCCAGTCCTTTTATTTTGAGACAGGGTCTCACTAAGTTGCTGAGGACCTCAATAATTTGCTAAGGCTGGCCTTGACCTTGTAATCCTCCTGCCTCGGCCTCCTGAGTTGCTGGGATTGCAAGTATGCACCATCATATCCAGCCTAACGCCACATTTCTTTACTTCCCATGTCAGCCACTCATATCCAAGACCATATCCCAGGACTGCTTTACTTCCAAATGGCTTAGTAAGTTCTATTGTGTTTTCTTATTATATAAGCAATATAGATTAATTGAAGATAAATTAGAAAAGTATGGGGCTGGGGATGTGGCTCAAGCGGTAGCGCACTCGCCTGGCATGCGTGCAGCCCAGGTTCGATCCTCAGCACCACATACAAACAAAGATGTTGTGTCTGCTGAAAAACTAAAAAATAAATATTAAAATTCTCTCTCTCTCTCCCTCTCTCTTTAAAAAAAAAAAAAAAAGAAAAGAAAAGTAGATGAGCAAAAGTCAGAATGTAGTCAGGTGTGGTGGTGCACGCTTGTAATCCCAGAGGTTCAGGAGGCTGAGGCAGCAGCAGGATTGTGAGTTCAAAGCCAGCCTAGCAAATTAGCAAGGTCCTAAGCAACTCAGCAAGACCCTCTCTATAAATAAAATATTAAAAAGAGCTGGGGATATGGCTCAGTGGTTAAGCACTCCTGGGTTCAATTCCTGGTACCAAAAAAAGGAAAAAAAAAATCATAATGTAAAGGCACCCATATTCCTCATAAAATGTTGATGATTATTCAACACATCATACCCAGCCTGTGTGTGTGTGTGTGTGTGTGTGTGGTTTATTTTGTTTAATTCCACCTGTCTCGCTTTGTCTGAAAATAACCCCCTCCTTCTGTTTGCTTGGCCCTTCATTTCCTTGCTATCCATCAAGTTCTTTCCTTCAGCCTGGCTGAGGTCCTGCAGCTCCTCTCTCCAACACTCTGTTCACACCTCAAGGTCCCCTTGCTTTCTTGTCCATTCACAGCAGTCTCTGGCAAACGTGGAACACTGGATCAGCCCAGTTATCCATCTTCTTGGCTGGGTCTCCTTGCTTATGTCTTTCCTACTACACACAAAAAATAAACACACTGAACCCTTTCTCTACTGTTCATTTTTCTCTGCCTCCTAGTGTTGAGAACATGGGCTCTGGAGCCATCCAGCTTGGGTTTATTTATTTATTTATTTTATTTTTTTTTAATTTTATTTTTTAGTTTTCGGCGGACACAGCATCTTTGTATGTGGTGCTAAGGATCGAACCCGGGCCTCACGCATGCCAGGCAAGCGCGCTACCGCTTGAGCCACATCCCCAGCCCCCCAGCTTGGGTTTAAATCCCAGCTATTCCACTACTTGCTATGAGAATTGAATTAGTTGCCATATCTGTAAAATGAAACACCACATAGGACACGGTTGCTGGGATTGATTACAGTATTGATACCTAAAGTGCTTAAAACAGGGACCTACCAAATATTAAGGTTACATCACTATTAGGTGTCATTCCTTTTCCTTTACTGTCAAACTTCTTGAGAAAGTCTTATATATTCACAATGGCTAGTTTGACCTTTTTTTCCTACAAAAATAGTTTTGTATGCACTTTTTTTTTTTTTTTCCAGGACTGGAGATTGAACCCAGGGCTTGTCCATGCTAGGTAAGTGCTCTATCACTGAGCTACAGTCCCAGCCCTTTCGATCCTCTTGTCTCACTTGGCCTCCTGAGTAACCGGGATTATAGGTGTGTGCCATGGTGCCCAGCTCTAAGTCCAGTTTTAATTGGAAGTTGGTTCTAGAGTACCTATCATAAAGAAGAACAGTTCCTTACTCTATTCCTAATCTTTGTGATCCACTCTCCAGAGGCAAACACTGATTATTTCTGGTTTCTTCTGGGATCTACCTTCATGTTTCTAGATAATAGATATGTACAGCTATTTCATGGTTTATCTACTTTTTTTTTTTCTTTTCGAGAAAAGGTTTCACTATATTGCCTTGAACACTATGTTGCCTGAATAGGCTGACTTCTGGGCTCAAGTGATCCTCCTGCCTCAGCCTCTGGAGTAGTTGGGACTATGGGCACATGCCACTATGCCCAGCTTTCATGGCATATCAATTTGAGACATTATTTATTGATTTCCAATATGGCTGATGAGGATTTAACACACATACCCACACCTTCTCTCCAGCTTGCCCTTCTTTCTGCTTCTCAAACTAATTATATAATAATTTTTAGTTAGATCAATATTTTATCTACCTTACAATGACTCTGCAAATACAATACTGAATTTAGCCAGGCAGCAGACAAGGATTATACTTCCCTTCCTAAATGATTTGTTTACCCCTCTGGAGTTAATAATTGCCTTGTTTTTGTGGTTTACTTAAATTCATATCCCTATCAGTAATTCTTCCCAAACTGCACAAAAGAACCATAAACATCCCTGGATA